TATTATTATTTTTATTTTATGTGTATGAGTGTATTGCCTGCATGTATGTGAGTGCACCCGTGTTGTGCAATGCCTCGAAGCTCAGAAGAAGGCTTCGAATTCCCCTGGAACTGTAGTTAAGGATGGTTCATAGCTGCTATGTGGGTGCTGGGAATCGAACCTGGGTCCATTGCAAGAGCAGTCAGTGCTCTTAACCGCTGAGCCATCTCTCCAGCCCCATGAAACCATTTTTTAAGATGCAAATATTATCCTTAGTTCCCAATTGTACCCAAAAAGAGTCAGGCCAGATTTGACCTTCAGACAGCAGTTTGCAAACCACTGCTGGAAACTCCTTCAGGAAAGCTGGCTTCTGACTCAGAAGTATGGACACTAGAAAATGATTTGTTGGCCTTAAGATAAAGGCTAAGGGTAGTAGTGGCTGAGTCATCTTGAGAAATGGTGACCGCCCTAGGGTGGGATCTTGTGATTGAAATGACTACTTCATAGTCTGCTCATTGGCCAATAAGAAGATCAAGAGGAAAACTGTGAGACCAGAACTTGTCTATCCTACTCTTATCTAGTAGCAGCCAGAGGACATGCCAAATGACAAGGCAGCAAGAAGGCTAGCCTGTCCTTTAAATGTTTATGTTTGGGGCTGGAGACATGACTCAGCAGTTAAGGGCATTGGCTGCTTGCAGAGGACCCAGGTTCAGTTCCCAACACCCACATGGTGGCTAACAACCCCCTGTAACTCCAGTTTCAGGGGATCTGACACCCTCTTCTAACTTCTGTGGGCATTGCATGACACAGGTGCACTTACATTCATGCAGGTAATACACTCATACACAAAAATTAAAAAATATTTAAATGTTTATGTGTGTAACAAAAATCCCTTTATTCATAGTCTGAGTGTTATAGAACCTAAAGAATTCATGAAAGAATTAAAAACTCACTAATAATGCTGCAAAAAAGAGATATATTTTCTTTTATGGCTTTATATTCATTTCTGTGGAAGGCATGGAGGTGGAGTGAGAGAAATAAGCACCTTTACTCTGTTCTGGTCTGTACCAAGTGTCCTATAAATGCTTCCTTATGACATTGCCTCTAAAACATACCACCTTAAAAGAAGATGTAATTACATTTTATAGATGAGGAAATTGAGGCATAAGTAACTTTCTCAAGGTTATCTATCTAGCAGGTTTTGACTCCCAAACTAAGTTTAAAGGCTATGTGTTTTAAAATAAAAACAAATTACAAAGACATAAAACCAAGTTTATGGTTTTCTACCCATGGTATTACTTCCTGGAACATTAGAGCAGAGGCAATGATGCAGGAAAAGAATCTTAGAGATAGAGAAAACTCTAAAGATCCTAAGTGTCTCCCTTGGGCAAGATTACACAAATACTGAAAAGAAAAAATGCTTGTTTTATCTCTAAATAGAACCTATAGAAAGATAACCTATTGCTGCCTTGTCTCATTTGAATTTAAATCAAATAAAAACCTCAGTGGAATAAGATCACATTACTATCCTTATATCTTCAAATTATGAGTTCTAGATATAGACTCTGCAATTGCCAAGCCATCAGAAGAAACTTAACAGAGCACCCAAACTGTATATTTCTACAGTGAGAAGTGGGCTTACTAACTGGAGAGCTGGAATATTGTGTTATTTTTTCCAACAATGTACTAAGTCTTAGGAAAAGACTGCAGGGAGCTATTAGAAGCCATGCCACCCTGATTGAAGGTTGTGGCCATGATGGAGCCTGGACCTGGGAAGAGTTGTATCCATTTTAAAGATAGAAGGAGAATCATAGTTATTA